GCCTGTAGTCCCAGCTACTTGGGAGGCTGAGGCAGGAGACTCGCTTGAGCCCAGGAGTTGGAGGTTGCTGTGAGCTGTGATGCCATAGCACCCTACCCAGGGGGATAGCTTGAGGCTCCGTCTAAAAAAAAAAAATTGAAATATACACATCTTAGTGATTTTGCTTCTCAGAATCACACTAGAGAAACATAAGCACGTGTGCGGGTTGCCATCTCTATTATCCACAGGGTCACCTTTTAATAGTCAATTTCATGTTAGTAGGGCTCCACAAACTGACTCATTCAGGTAGCTTCCATCGGCAAAGAGAACTAGGGGAAATGACGGCGGCAGAAGGAAGAAGGGACTTAACTCCATTCTCCATCGTCCCAACAGCAGCCCTTTACCCCGGCAGGAGCAATTCCTTTAGCCACAGTTGGTTTTATTGTCCCTCTTTGTTCCAACGGTCACAGAATCAGCCTTATTGCACTCCTTAAAGGTACAAGCAGCAGCCAGGTGATGTTTTCCTCAGAGGTGTGAATCTTAAATCCCTGCCCCCGCCTCCCCCCACCCCCCAGATCTTAAAATAGCCAATGGTACCTCCCCTCCTTAAGTTTGAGTCTCAACATCATGGGATCCCTTTTTCTCAGAGGACAAGCAACAACCATACATCACCCTCTCTCTGCATAGGCCTGAATACGCCTCAAGTGAGCTTTTCAAGGTCCTCCTCCAAGCTTTATATAACCTCATGACCAAAACAGTGAATTACTGAAGTCAATCACAGGACACTCATTCAGCTGAATACAATGCAGTCTTTAAAATATTGCTGACGTTACTCATTTTATTTATTTATTTATTTATTTAAGGCAGAGTCTCACTCAGTCACACTAAAGTTGAGTGCTATGGCATCACAGCTCATAGCAACCTCAAACTCTTGGGCTCAAACAATCCTTGTCTCAGCCTCCAAAGAAGCTGGGACCACAGGCGCCCACCACAACTCCAGCTAGTTTTTCCATTTTTAGTAGAGAAGGGTCTCAGTTTGCTCAGTCAATGTACCTGCCTTGGTCTCCCAGAATGTTAGGATTACAGCCATGAGCCACTGCCCCCAGCATAGAAAATTATTTAATGTCCTGGAAATGTTTACAAACTATTGTTAAATGAAAGAGAGCAGATAAAAAGGAACATGTACAGTATGATTTGTTTAAAAAAAAAAAAAAGCCAAATAAACACGTGTGCAAAAGATACTAGCAAATTAAATGTAAAGCCAAAATTTAATATTGACTTCTTGGACACGGGATTATAGGTGATTTTAAAATCCAGCTATTTCTACATTTTCTATAATAGCCATCTTTTCTAATGAAAATATATATATTTCCTTAAGTCTATATAATTTGTTGGGGGAAGGGCAGTGGAGAGTACATTTACAATATTCGAAATGTAAAGGTCTATTTCGGTAATTCCCTGGTTAGATTCCGGAGACACCCTAGTCCACCGGAGTCCCGTGGAGCATCATTCCTCTAATATACCAACTGCAGCAACAGCTGGCAAATCCTAAGAGAATGTGGATAGATACCTCTTTTTCCAAACGATGATAACACGGGCAAAAAAACCCACAAACAAACAACTGGGTGCCAAGGCGGCACTCGGCACAGCGCGAGGCCCACTCGGAGGGCAAGTCCGCAGCAGAGGACTCAAGGCTGAGGACAGAGTTTGCCCAGACTCGAAACGCAGAGCTGGCAGCTGTGTTAACGCAACCTACCCACCAGCCCCCGCGCTCACGACACCCTGGCACTCCGCGAGTTAGTGCTTGTGGGGCACGCTGGATAGGCACGCGCACGCTCCAAGCGTCGCAAGCGTCTACCTTTGGGAAATTGCACGTGGGGAGCATCGATGCTCAGGAGCTGCGGGGGTGACAAGGCCTGGCTGTAGGTCGCAGCGCCAAAGCTGGAGTTGCGCAGCACTAAGGTGTCCACGGGTAGCCTGGCACAGGCTTCTGCGAAGGGTCAGAATCTTCTCTCGCCCTGCGCCCCTCAGAAGTCCTACTTTGACATTTCGCGGGGGATGGTCTATAAGATTTATATCCCAACTCCCACCCTCTGGCGTCAGATCGACAGATTGTACTCAAGTAGAAGGCTATTGGTTTCCCTTTGCTGCATATTATAGACTCAGTTTGTTCTTAGTTGTAATCGTAGCTGGGGGCGGGGAGGTAATACCTGCACTTGCCTTTGAATGCCACTAACTCTTAGCTGCCTTGAAGCTTCTTGTATGGAATTTCACCGGTGATTATTTATTTCGTTGGATTTTCCTGATGAACATCTTTCACGCCTATCCGGCGTGCCCCACAAGCACTAACTCGTGGAAAAATAAAGCTATGCAATGGGTTTTACATGCTGAAAAATAATTAGTTCACAATAGATTTTTTAATGAAGTTACATTTATCAAATTAATGTGCAGATCATAAGACTGGCTTTGATGTAAATTGAACTAGTTTGGATTTGTGGATATAACTTTATAGAATGCTTTTTGGTTTTGTTTGTTTTGTAAGCTTAATACTAGTATTTGTATAGCAATTTCTTTTACAAATAAAAGTTGGCATGTAGCCAGTGTTTCCTGCACACACTTGTTTTCTTTAGAAAACATAATTTGAGTGCAGATTGTTTCTTTTCAGAATTTATCATTTCCTTTGGATGGATTCCAATTCAAAATATATATCAGATCAATACATTGACAAACTGTCATAGTGGAACAAGTACACATGCAATCATACTGAACAAAATTAAATTTTATATTTAAATGATTTTTATACATCAAGTATATGTATTGCTCCTTGTTAGTGTAGTGGTTAAATAAAATGAATAAAATTAGCTAAATTGCTAATACCATAACATTTAACTATAACTTATCCATTTTCAAAGGACTTCACTAATCATGAGGTTTGAAAATCTGGATTTCTCTTGCTTTCTATGGCTTAATATGTATAAACGTCTAAATTTGACAAGTCTAACTCAAGGAAGAAAATTTATAAAGCTGGGCCAGGCACGGTGGCTCATGCCTATAATCCTAACACTCTGGGAGGCTGAGATGGGTGGATTGCTGGAGGTCAGGAGTTCCAGACCACCCTGAGCAAGAAAGAGGACCTGTCTCTAAGAACTAGCCAAGCGTTGTGGCAGGTGCCTGCAGTGCCAGCTTTTTGGGAGGCTGAAACAAGAGGATCACTTGAGTCTGGGAGTTGGAGTTTGCTATGAGCTTCTACTCCACAGTTCAACTCCACAGCACTCTACCAAGGGCAAAGTAGTGTGATTCTCTCTCAAAAAAAA